AAAAACAGGGCTTCTACTGCCCCTGAATTGAAAAAAAAAAAAAAAAAAAAAGAGGGAGAAAAATCACATTCAAACTGAACTTTCAGAAAAGCTCTGTCTACAGGAACTGCAGCTGGCATTAGATCTAAGCTCAACTTCTGTTACCAGAAGTTGATTTTACCTTTTATATATTTTATCTTGGCATACATTCTAGTAATATGAGATAGAACCTAAAGGACAGAGCATGATCTTGATCTAAGGATGAGTGTAAGTAATTTTAGTTGATTGTCTACCTTTATGGAGTATGTTTATGACAGCAATCACAAGGGCAATGTTTCATAAACAAGTCAAAAGATTTTTCCAGGTGAAGGCTTTCCACTTGCTAGAATGACTGACATTACCTTTTGTGCGCTAATAAATTTGACAATAATTCCCATCCAGCTCATCTTAGTTTATGAAGAAGTTGATTAATAGCTTTTGCCAGATTAAAAAAAAATACAAATAGAGCAGAATATGCATTTTGTTCTAGCGCAGCTTCGAAAAAGTAATCTTGAAACTTTTGCTGCTAAGAAATGTGACAATAAAGAAAATTCTAAGGAAGTGTTGGTCAGCTGAAGACTTATTGGAAACAGCATGTTTTCTCTGTAGACACTGATCTCTATAAATGCACAATAATACAATAATTAGTGTCAATAATTAAATATTTCTGAGTTTGTCACTACATAATTGAAAGAAGGAATAATCCATTTTTATTGATTAGTTTTGACTGAGAAATAAAACCGCATAAAGATTTCTTTGAAAATATCTTTTTAAATCTACTGCAGTCAAATTGTGTAGACGTTGGTAGCGTATCGTTATTTGCAAGTGATGACACTGCTGTTACTTTTGGAAGACACTCAGTTTTTTACGGAACAATGAAAAATAAACATTTGTTTTCAGCAGATGACCCTGACCCTGCACTACATGACAGAGCAAAGCACGCCCCAGAAAAGTCATCCTGACGGTTGCTTCACAACTTGTAAGACATCCCATCTCATGTTGCTGAGTCTTGTGCCCACAAGATGGTTAGCCCTATAACCTACACTTAATAGGATATTACAACGTTTTTCAGTTATTTTAAGCCTCACTTAGGTGAAGCTTATTCACCGAAGTCTGATGGTCACCCAGTCATTCTTAGGTTTTGAGGATGAGAAAAATTAGGATGATGGAGACATGTCAGCGACGAAGTAACTGTGTGTATTTCCTCAGTCTTAAAAATAGAGGACACTTTGATGCCTAAACTGAAGTTTATGACATCAGTATAGCCAAAAGCAAAGAATGATGGCAAAATGTTTGGTCACGAGTTCTAGTCAAAATCGTTTATCAGGGCAAAGCAGAAAACAGAGGATGAGAAAAATTAGGATGATGGAGACATGTCAGCGACGAAGTAACTGTGTGTATTTCCTCAGTCTTAAAAATAGAGGACACTTTGATGCCTAAACTGAAGTTTATGACATCAGTATAGCCAAAAGCAAAGAATGATGGCAAAATGTTTGGTCACGAGTTCTAGTCAAAATCGTTTATCAGGGCAAAGCAGAAAACAGGCAAAGGAACGTCATCGGCTTCCAAGCCACGCTCCAAACACGAGACCATCGTAACCAGTTCCAGCCGCTATGGAAAAACGCTGTCTTTTCAGAGACATTACGGAAGGGTTAAAATTGAGAGGGGGAAAAAAAAAAAAACAAAACGGAAATAGCTTGTTGGTAGCAAGACCCTTGGGGCTGGG